ACACTTTATTTGGTATAATATTGATGATACGTATGCCATTAATATTAGAAGGCTCTTGTTTGTTCAGTTGTAGCGGATTTCAAATAAAATTTTGGGTCTATGGAAAAGTAACAATTTTGCATTGGTAATTATACAATTCTAGAGCGCTCGTGGGATAAAGGGATGATCGTATATTTCCTTGGCGTATGCATATAAGGTTATAACGTGCAGTGTAAACAATCGCTGGTAAAATTCAATAGTTTACCGGCCGCGAAAGCCGCCAAGTAATTATAACGGCGCTCGATCGTCCGAGCGATGCCGGAGGAATTCTGGCCAATTCGTTGCATTACGTTGCCGAAGGAATTAGGAGTTTGCGAGCCGCAAACCCTGCGGCGTCGCGGTGGCGGTCCCACGGCGAATCCGGCCTTGGTTCGTAATGGCCGTTGCAGTTGCACCTGCGGCTTCGGCAAGAGATTCGCTTTATCACGATTACGAGACCCCGTCTTTTTATCGCCGGCATTTAGAAACGTATTTCCAAGGTCCAGGACTCGACGCTGCCGTCGCTTCATGAGAACTCGTAAAAGTGACGGCGTGAGAATTTTTTATTGCAACCGCAAGCGAGAGAGGGTCCTGGACGTGGATGATAGTCCCTTGCTGAAGTCGCGAGGCGCGACGAAATTTCATCGTGTACCAAAATGGCCGGTACTGACAGCCAGGGATACCAACCTGACAGACATATTCGCATCCTGTTCTGCGTCAGAAGCAATCCGCGCTTCCGCAGGATTCATTTTCATCGTGAATTCTCCATAACGTTGTGGTTGGCTCGGTATAGTATACGTATATATACACTCGTACTGTAAAGTTTCCGCGGATGGTCGGGGAAATGGGCCAGAGGGCGCTGTGGGCTCTGATAAAACGAGCAGGGAACAGGTTTGTAATTCATATTAGAGTCTCGGAGGACAAAGCAATCAAGTCCCTCGACGTGGGGAAACGGCCGAATTGCGGAAGAGCGACGCCGGTACCTATAGGGCTGACTTCCGCCACGAATTAAACTTACAGATCCGTCGGGCTGACAAAGAGGCCGCGCTCGCGACGCTTCGCGTTCCGGAGCAAGATAGTGGATCAAATGAAAGGAAAATATTGTATTTTTTATGAGACTTTCTTTGCTCCGCGCAGGCTGCTCGGCCGGAGCCGCCCTGGGCGAGATCAAAGTTGAACGAATGTGTCCACAAGTCACAAAGAGTTCGGGGCACTTTATTACACCGTGAGCCCTCGTATAAAAGAACTCTCTGATCCCAGCCTCCTACCGCGCTTCACAATGGATGGTAATTTCAGGACAGAAGTGGATATTACTAATGAAAATGCAAATCCTACGATCCCCAATTAACTTTGCGATCATTTTATTTCCTTCTACAGACATGAAATCGGATTCGATATGTACATAATGTCTATCCTTGATAAACCGCGAACGCTGTCGTGCCACATCGTGATCGTATCATTTTTTAATTCACTTCCTCTTACAATTGGTAGTACGTATATAACTTTCATATATAACGTGGCAATATATATTCCCAAGTGAAAATAACTGCGTCTCTTGAAATTGAGGAGCAGTGACCAGCTCGACCCGTCGAAATAACTTAGTCGAAGAAATGGTTGAAAAAAAAAAATCCTGTCAAACAACTTCTACAGACACGAAGGTGGGTTTTACCCTAAGCGCACGTGGCTCATCCGTAGCGCATGTAGCTTCCTTCCCATGGAGCAAAGGAAGTGAACGTCTCCTAAGTATCATGGAGTTGTGTCCAATGGAACTGATCTTGCTCGGGGCTGATCTTTTTACTCGTTGCCGGGTCACGTTAACGGTACGACGGTTGTCGAAGACTCCAAAATCCTGTCTACGCATTCGCTTTGTAATCTTTCTTCTTCCCCGTCGTGAGTTTTCTCTCGATGTTCGTCTCCTTGAGATACGTAATTCATACTCGTATTTTACAGAGACTTGGCACGGAGTCACGGGTGTATTCCATAATAAACGTGAACAGCCAGACCGGTGTTACAGGTTCGCCATTCTTTTATCGAGCTATAGTGTCCTTTTTGTATTCCTTTAAAAAGCTTGGAGCTTCCCTTTCTTCCATCCCCCTTGTAGTCTAGTGTATCCTTTCCCCTCTTCTGCCTCTCCTCTCGTCTTCTATGATCTTAGGAGGCGTCAGAATTCGCAAAGCGGCAGCTGGCAGACGTAATCGAGTAACCGGGTAAACGCGCTGATTAATGGCAGGATGTAAGGAAACCTGGTATTAAAATTCGTCTGTGCGTGTTCAGTAGTTGAACCCAGGAAAAATGAGAGATCACGCTACTGATTTAGCAAAGGGATCCAAGTGGCCTCGCACACGTCCTTGTTTATACCGTCAACGGTAACAATTTTCCTGATGGAATTTCACGAGGTATCCAAGAAAGGATCTTAGGATCCTCCTTTGCTTCTCGCGCGAAGGATCCGTGTGCTGATCCCAAGAGACCGGCATACCTGGTGCCTGCGCATAATCCAGAGGGCTCGTAATTTTGACAAGGAGATCGCACAGGACTCCTCGTCCCGCTTCTGCTCAGACTTCTTGTCTCCATTGATCTGTCTGGTAGACGACGTCTCGACTTTCGTAAACTCCTGGAGTTCTCTCGGACGCCCACCCTGTTACGAAGGAAGGACGACGAAGAGTCCTGACTGCGCGACGGACATCAAGCCTCTGCTGATCTGCTCCACGCTCTGGCAAAAGTCTCTTCTGGGGATGGACCACCGGCACTAGTTGTTTACGATACTGACGCCGAATTCCCATCCTAAAAACCTAATGCCCGTCACTCGTCCTGCTCGCTTGGGTCGGCTCACCCGTGGATCCGGACTCTGCGCCGGCAAGAAGCGCACCGAGGATCATCATGCGGTAGATATATTACCTAGTTTAACATTTCGTTCATTGCTCGCGACCCTTTTGCCGGCTGATCACGCCGGCGGCTTTTTCGCGCTCCAATTTGTGTGGCCTATTGCCATTCCAATGGGACACGGTAGGCATGCCGTTCTGGGAGTCACCGAGAAATATACTTACGTCGTTACCGTCCCGGCTTGACTGAGAGATTTAATTCACGATCTTCAGCCAACGGAATTAAGGCGGCGTTCGCGGTTCTTAAATTATTCCTTTGACGAAAAAGACTTCAGAGAGCACGAGTCTCTGTTCATCGTGAATGAGGATACGTGGTACCTTCGGTTAGGACGTCGGACTGCGAGATTAGGGTCTTCGTAAGTAGTGAGAAATAGTTGGCACTGATTTAGCTTGATCACTCTTTTGAGTATAGACAAAGTCCTAGCGAGGCCGTTGACTTATCTCTGCTTGGGGATGGGATGAACCTGGAGTTTTTCATGAAAAATTGTGGGATTGGATGTCGCGTGTGTGTCTTCGGGATTCACTGAGAGTCGCTGGGTTTTCTTAGGTACAGCCGGGTAAGAAGCGAAATGTAGTTTGTTTTACTCCTGGTGAAATTGGGAAACGTCAGCGTTACAGATTGTAAATTAAAGCCTGTTAGAGAAGCGCGGATGGCATTTATGGTGATAACTAGATAGGTGTACGATGTCTATTGTAATTCTATACGTACGTGCCTTATAGGAGAGGTAAGATTTAATATTCCCTTTACCATGAAATGCTCTTGTGCATTAAGTCACGTTGCAGTTTTTACACGCTTCTGCGTCTTCAAGTACAAAGGGACCTGGAAGGAAGAAAATTCAGGATGAAACCCTCTTACTATCCATGGTATAGTCACGTATATGTATGTATATAATACTGGAGTAGAGAGTTCGTTCGTCTCAATACAAATGCTTGCCCCTGCTGTAAACTCTCTGAGAAATTTTTACTCCTACACATATAGTAATTCGATTTCCGGCTGCTACATTCTACCAACGCGAGCTCTTCGTGCCGACGCTTCTGACTATTAGGTCGGAGCTCCCTTTTCGTGTCGGCTTGGAGCAGAAGAAAAACTTACTGTTTCAATGAAGTCCAGGTGATGAAGATATAATCGCGATCGCGTGTGCATAATTATTAGATCAAACTTCAGCATAGCAAGTTAACTAGATTTTGATGAACTTGCATGCGGTTGAACGTCGTGCCAAAGTTTAGTGCTATTACCACCGTCTCGAATTTCTACGCTCGATCTACTCCTCTCGACGTGGCAGCCATTATCAGCACACTTCCTCCATCTCCTGTCATACCGAGTGAATGAGAATAGTCCCACCATTTCTGTATGGTCTCAATCCCATATATACCGCCAATGAGAGCCTATTCTCTATTTCTAGACTGGCACTCCTTATAATACTCTGCGCTGTCGTGAATGCAATACGCAGGTTCCACCTCGAACGGCAGTCGAGCACGGAATGAACCTGGCTGTTGGGTTGAGCCCGAAGCCTTCGGGTACCGAACGTTCGGTCGGGTCCAGTCGGGTCGAGTCGCGTCGAGTTAGTTTTCAATCGAGTCAGGACGGAGTCACTCGTGTCCCGAGTCAGTGCTCGACCGGCCGCGAGCGAAAGAGGATCGTGTCTTTTCGCTCCGAATTTCGGTACTTCGTGGCGCATCACCGATCGTCGTGGAACTGCTAATACTTAACAGTTGCCAACTCGGTACATCGTGAGTGAAAGTCATTTAGAAAGTATATCGCTTTATTAAACGGCCCTGGTGAACAGTGTGCTTGTGTTTTTCAGTTGTATGAGATAAAGCAGGGGTACTTCGTACATGAGGTTTCTGTGGTTTCCACTTGGTGACACAAAGAGATAGAGAAAGGTAGTCCGTTGGACTTTTCGAAGGCCACGTTTGCATTTGTGAGAAAGAAAATTGTGCCCAGGGTGCGTAACGGTTTCGGAGCGTCCTGCTGCAGCATTTTTATTCCACGGGAATATAAAAATTAATCTACATTCATGCATGTTTCCTCATTGAAAATAGTTCAAGTGTGAGATTGTTACGTATCAGTAGAGATAATAGCACACCGGGTGTGAATATAATATCGTATAAAGTCATATCTCCTACGTTCGACTGTCATAATCGTAAGCGATTCTATCGTACGTGGCAAGAACACGGTTTTACCTGACGTTGATATAACAGCGAGAGTTAGTCTCAACATACTTTCTAGAACCTCTCTCTAGAGCAACGAACTCACTGACTGTCGCAAACAATTTAATATATTTTCTCTAAACACCTGCCTCCCGGTATCCTACTCAAATCCGAATTCTATACTGTGGTTTGGTAACTATATAAGAATATAGTGATTAGTATTCTTCTATTTGAATGTGGAGAATTAACATATCCATTAAGAAAATACTTCGGGGACACCATAAGCAAAGTAACGTCTTCGAGGCCCACATACCTGCATCGTGTATTACCTATGGAGGATCCTAGTAAAAGTAAAGTTCAACTACAAAAGATCGCTAGTCGAGCGTGAACTGCGGACAGAATAGAGTGGAGTCCATTGAGCGAAGAGCGAATGGGAAGATTGCTGTTCAGGTCAGAGAGTGGAAGACATACACGGTGTCTTTCAGCAAGCATCGAGGGACAGAAGGAAGTAAGAGAAGAAAAATAAGAAAAGAAGGAGAAGACGAGACCGGAGACAAAACTCAAGGCTCGTTCGTTCGTTTGTTCGCCCACCAGGTGTACGTCAATTACCGGGCGTTCCGATCCCGACAATAAAGGGACGAGCCTACGAAAGATATACGTACCAGTGCATCGGGTGTCCGTAAATTACGGAGGATATAATTAAACGTCTACTTTAGTGCCGTGAACACTGAGGGGCACGAGGCTTGCACCCGACCAACGAGAGCGTAGAATGGAAGGAAGCTATTAGAAGAAGAAAAATACACAAGCCGCAAAAGATAGAAAGAGTCTTTGACGACGTAAGATTCTGCTCAAAGAGTCAAACTCGAGACACGTTCGGGACAGAACGAAACTCAAGCATTCCAAACTCATTGTTGCCGACCGGTATATATATATATATTTTTATAACCGGCTGAGCCAACCAGCATATCCTACTACCATCGCCAGTGGCCCATTGTGCCCGACTTTAACGTGCTGTGATAAAGGCTGTGATATTGTGCTTTTCTCTGGCAGACACGACATAATTGGTTTGTAATTTTATTATAAAAAATTATTACAACGATATACGTTCCAGAGTGACTTTTATTATCGTACAGCCGAAATGTCGCGGATTGGAGCTGCAAATAATTTACCTATGAAATTATCATGAGGATCAGAGTGCAATGGCAAATCACTAAATAATTCACTTCATTGATAGTCGAACGACATGGAAACGCGGGAGTTTCAGACATGTCATAAGTAATTATTTATGCGAAATCACTATGTCTAGATTCGAGCTGGATTATGTGAATTTGCGAAAATTATGAATGAAACTTGTAATGATTCTTGAATAAATCATACTCGAGCGGTAGATGTATGGCGGCGACGCACAGCGATGTATTGTGCTGACGTCACAAAAACATTTGGCAAAACAGACAATGTGGATGTAGCCGCCTAGAAGAAGCGAGCGATACCTTTTTGTTTTAAGGCTGCGTTACACTCGAAAGTCACGTGACATTTTCATATCTGAGAACGTTAGAGGTAATTAATCATTATCGTATCCCCTCCATCTCCATATTTTCCATTTTCATCCTGCTAAGCACATCGACAGTCGCGCGGGTAGTAATCTTTTTCGAACATGTTTGCCGCGCGACGTTGATAAGAGATATACAATTTTATATAATGGTCCGCAGCGCGAAACGTGACTTTCATATTTCCACGGATGATCTAGTCTCCTTGTCAATTCCTTTGTTGAGACAGCACACTTGGCAACGTGCTTTGAATAAATTCTTTGATTTTCAGTTGATCCATAATTCCGCCATGTCTCTTGCGCTTTCTCTCTTCAGTCACATTATACATTGTGGCAGCGTCGTAACGTAAATTATCTGAAGTTTTCTGACAAGACGCGCGTTCCTTTTTTCTGGAAATATTTTAGGAAATGTGAAATTACTTGGCGACAAAGGTCATTCGGTTAATGCTTAATGCATTTGGGTCACCGTGATGCAATTTTGCTCCTTTGCTCCTTCGTACACAACTGTCAAATCCAACTGATGAATGTATTTAAGTTGAACGCCTATCTGTATGAATTTCGTACGTGTAAATAGATATTCACGAACGAGATACCAAAGAGGAGCAAAGCCGGGCCAGAGAGAGTAGTGGAACGAGATGGGGAAAAAAAGCGTCCAAAATAAATTATGCAGGAGCTCTTAAAACAGTTCACATTGAAAAAGTTCTGCATGGCAACTAGTCCGAAAATTTAAATTGTGCCTGGTACACAGTGTACGGGTTTATGCGTCGTGAATGCATTATGCAAAGGTTCGCGAGCCGGATAGTTTCAATCACACGAGAGGGATAGGTATATACGCATCTAAGCACGTATAGTCGGAAGGTAGATATCATTAACCCTTAACTACACAGATCCAACTCTCGGAACATACTTCACAAGGTGAGGCCTGCGAGACCTCAGAATATGAAGCTCGATCGTAGGGCCACTGAAACGTATGGAATAGCTCAAAAGTACAGCTTTACGTCGCTCTTCTCGTAATTTAAAGAAATTTAATGACCAACTATCAAGTAATGATTGTCTAGTAGTTTCTTTTCTGATTCGTTGCAAATTGAAATTTAGACAAATTCGGCGGGAGGACTAAACAAAAAATTTGTGAGTTCTTCGAGACTTAGTTGTAGTTTAGGGTTAATTTTAGAAGAAGAAAAAATCGTCTACCTTTAATATTGAATTGATACGAACGATACGGATTTTGTTGACCTTGTATCCTCCGGATAGGATCTTCTAATCATGAAACAGTAATGCATGTGTATATAATTTCTTTAATATAGAGATGCATTCTATCTCAATACTGCTGATCACGCATTACGTAACAGATAAGGTTTCTATTTGTTCCACTAACGAGTTGATCTAATCGACGGATTTTCTGACCACTGCATACAAACTCTTAATAGATATACTGTACCGTATAAGCTGTATTAGTACAGGTTGAACTGGTATAGGAATTAGGCCTCGGCTGATCTCATATAATTGTCATTCACTTACATCGATCGTATCGTATATGCTAGGAATCTATGCAATTTCGCATTCAGGTGACTCCGATATACGTAGTTACATAGGAGGATGGCACCTCAAAGTGTAATTTATCTCATAGCCCGATCTTAAATGCAACCTAGTAATACGATAGCATTTACCGCGTCTGTAATTTATAGCCTTTCAAGGCATCCTGTCAATAGCTCTATAAGCATAGTCCAGTTAAAGCATTTGCGTAACGGTTCGCTATCTTCCGTCCTTCCGTGAATATCGATCGCTATGTCGCGACTATGGCGAGATTAAAAAAGGTATAAGAGAGAGAGACGAGAGAGAAATAAAAAATTAAAAAATAGGCGTACTCGCTATATTATACGGCCGTCGAACTTCTTCCAGAAGTTAAAGTAGAATTTCAGGTTGGCTTGCTGGGCGTTTCTACGTAATAGTAGAATTAGGATGACTGTGGGGAACGAAGGGGGTGGCGTTGGCGACAGTGAATTACTAAGGAGGATTACGAAACGGGTAATCAGATGCATAAGAAATATCGCGACTAAGAAAGTAGACATTGGTAATACTAACTTTTCCAATCATAGCCACGATGAACCTGGCTGGCCTAAATGCTGCTAACGAAAGTTTTTGGTGTTATCTCGGAGCTTCATTTTTACCTAGCACGTGACGTTTCTATTTGGCGACGTGTCGCCAAGTTAGGTGGAACTTCTTTTCTTCATTTTTTCATTTTTCATTTTTTTTTTTCAAATCGCTTCCTTTCAGCTCGCGTCACTTTCACGAATGTCAATGGACCTATAATCTTTTGTGCGACTAATTTGATCCTGTTTCTATGCGCGTCTATCTTTGATATATATCTGTTTTTATATATACGTGGCAGACTGTTTCCAGATAAGCAATCGTCGTGCGATATCATAAGTTTTAACTATCGCTCTGAAATAGTACCGTACGGAACAAATGATCGGGTCTTATGCATCTGCCGTTATAAAGCAAAGACACGGTATTACTTTATGGAATCACAGTCAGGAAGTCATTGTACAAGAAACCGTAGCCTGCACTTCCGGCTGATGTCTGTTGGTTAACGATATATTTTTACGATAGGCGCATCCTGCCGAATCTAGACAGATAAGCAATATTCTATAAGTAACGTGACGTTATAATCACATCTGCGAAATTTTAATCTTGCCTATTTATACTCGCAGTAGTATGGCAAATCTCAACTATTGTACGCGAAAACTTTTTGATAAAAATTATCCTGACTGTCAGGATAATCGTGGGACACGGTGAGACTTTAGTCTGTATTATTGCAGATCTACCTTCGTAATAATAAGGTAATTGTAAATTAGTATGGCAAATTTGAACATATTTAAAAATGTATTTAAAGTCTTCAAAATATGCGATAATTTGGCAAACGAAAGATTACTATGTAATGTCAAAAAAATATAAATACTTCATGTCCCGAGGTTACTATTTTCACAGTAATTTTAATTGTGACTTTTGTCGTTATTTTTAAGCATTTCACTATATCCGTGTGTATACATCGTTATTTCAAAGTCTCAAGTTTCAGCCGAGTTAAGAGATTAGAGCGTGCTTATTTACCGTTGGAAACGCCGCATAAGTACAACTGTCGTTTGCGGTTTGTTGAGTCTTGTTTCTCGACTAGGAGGCTCGCGCAGCCCTTCGCATTTTATCGCGGACGACGTTAACTTCCAAAACCGTCTTGACGGTTCGTTGCGCAGCGCCTTAACGTCAGCTGTTTTTTTTTCTTTCTCTTGGACGATAGAGACGTCCTTTTACGACTCCATCACAACCCGCGACAGCACACGGTAAAAGGCACGATGGACGTGTATACATTCGCACGGAGAGGAATTCGCATGTAGACACCCACTCTGATTCTCCTTTTACGTAAATATTATGTGAAAATGGTTTGATCGATAAAAAATAAAGATTTCAATATTTCATGTTAAATGTATCATTGCGATCCTACTGCGGCCATCGATATATCACTTGAATCGAGCATTGGTATTATTTATAATAGCTCCTATCGCATCGAATTATCGGCTCTTGATATAAGAGTCACTCTGGACTTCTGTAATAATAATACATAACTATATTATATATTATTATGCCCAAGTTCGTTACCGCCGCAACATGTTTTTTCTTTTGTTCGATATTACTTTTATGCTTACGTATCATAATCAGAATTTCGTCAAAATAACGATCACCCGATGGTATACCGATATAGTTATACCAGGTCGTTAGTATGAAATTCTCCGAAATTAGATACGAAAGAAAATTACAGATTTTTAGTAACAGATAGCTTGTCTACCTATTACGTAAAAAATTGTTCACTATTCAAGCCAGTGCCCGTCACGGCTATCAGAATTGGAAGACAGAACGATTACGATCGCTACTGCTATTCTGTATTATCTTTGCAGAATGGGAATAAAAATATAAAAATTCCACGCGTAACAAATATTGTGTCGTCTATAATCCGTATGAACTTTAATATCGTCGGTTCGTTTGAGCAGAAGATTATCAAAGGTCGATAGGGTCTTATCGTTCGATGGTGAAATTCCTATCTGCCGAAAGAGGTTTGTGAAATGAAAGGATGGAGAGGTTTCGCGATAAGCCAATGGAAAGAAAGCAGTCAGTCTAATTTAAAGAAATGTATTGAATGTCGCATATCGAAATGACAAAATGGCTTTTACCTCTGAGCCTTACGTTCATTAACGCAGCGAAGCCAAATAACGATATTAGTTAACGACCAGCGATTGTATCTCTTAGAAAATATTTACGCGCCTTGTGTAAGAATCTCCCGTGGAAAAATATACGTGGAATTTCTACAGGGCAGGATCGTTACCACGATGGGAGGACAAACGAAATAAAAAGTGTAAAGCATAGATCAACGGCATGGCTGGCTGCTAGGGTCATTTCTCCTCGAGGATAAATTAGCCTTTCCTTATCCGAATCAACGTGCAAATGCAATGGAGAGCATGGGGCGCTCGC